CATATCTGTACTCAAACTTACTTACTTTATCCTGTACACAAACATGCATGTACAGGAAATACTGTATGCAAATACAGTGGGCCCCCAACTTACAACAGGCCCATGTTACGTCAGTTTCAATTTACGACGCTTTTTTTAATTAAAAAAAAACCCCGACTTACGTCAGGGTTTCATGATACGACAGCTTCTTAAGTTCTTCAGCTCCACACAAATTTAAAAATTTCTTCTTGAAACATATGATCATTTAAAATAATGCACTTCCATGGGAAAAAAATAACTATACCTAATTGAGGACTGGAGAGGAGCAACTAAACATATGGACTTTTTTATAAATAAAATGTAAAAATACTGTATGCAAAAAATGTATAAAAAATAAAATTTTAAAAATTTGTTTAAAGAATCCCACCAGCCTTTTGGAATTTCTTGAAATTCTGATGGATCAAAGATAGTTTCATTCCTGGAAAATCATTATAAAAACAGCATTCCATTTTTTTGAATGCTGTTTTTATAACTTGCTGATTTTACTGATTTTGCATGAGTCAATAAAACAAAATAGATTCGCACTTCATCAGCAGACAATCTTCTGAATTATCTTGCCCAAATTTTAAAATTAAAATTAATGAAAATTTTCCGCCAATTTTATTTGAAAACATCTCGAATTTTCCAGTTTGACTGGGAGATTGCTTTTTTTATTTCAAGACTGGAGAAAGAAAAAAATCAAGCTCAGAGAGTTTTTTTGTGTGTTTCTGCTAATTTTGTGGGTACCCACATGGTATGAAAAGGTTTTCGCAAAAATTCTCCTAAACAATGATACTCTTCATTCTTGCCAACACTTCTTTTTCAAAAGCAAATTTTGTTAATGCTTCAAACAGGGTGAATTGGTGCTGCTTGACTTCATTCATTAAATTTTCTTGCTTTGAATGAACTCATCATATTTTGAACATTAAAAACATAAAAAATGGAGCTTTAAATGTGAATATAATATTCAGCTGAACATTAAATTGCAGTATTTTATTGCCAAAAAATGTACAGTATTTTTTTTTGGAACGAATTAATTTTTTCATAATGTAACCTTAAGGGAAATAGGGTTTCAACTTACGACGGTCCCATGTTATGACATCCATCCTGGAACGGATTGATGACCTAAGATGGGGGCCCACTGTACAGTAATTCAATTTTGGAAACAATTTTCAAAATTTTTTTTCAATGTAATGCATTATTAAGGGAATGCAATGCTCAAGTTTTAAATAGGTAAGGCACACCTCTTTGGTGACAAATAAGTGTAAAAAGTATACAGTTATATTTCATTACAAGTAATATTAAAAAAAAAAGTATTTGTTACAATGGAGTCCTCTTACTGGTCCATGCGCAATACCGATCACACTATAAAAATTTCTTTTCAATGAATTTATTATTGTAACGAAGCTTTTTTAATATTGAACAGCTTCCTATTAGTCACAAGATCTTACGGTATTTATAATCCGTGCACTGGGGCATGGAATTAGAACTGAGCAGATGAATTTGCCGGGTTAAGTTTAATAAGCAAAACCCTAATTTTTGACTTGGCATAATTTTTCTTGAAACTATGCTTGAATTCAATATTTTTCCCATTTGTAACTGATGAAAATCTGCTAATCCAAGATCTTTTTACGACGAAGAGAGCTGAAGAAGCGTGGAAACCTGATTCAAGGCATGCATTCTGAATTTTTGTTTATACTGCATAGTAATTTTTTAAGTTTGTGAAACGGGAGAAAGACGATGACAGGCTGTGTTGCTGTTCTTTTACTTCTAAGGTTTGCGTAGTTCCCCAGAAATTAAAGGCGCGTTTTTTTTATGGTTCACTGGGTGCAGTATTCTGCATCTCAGCCAACAACAGCTGTGGCAGCTGTTTTTCATCATGACAATAAGGTCTTCTAGGAATAGCGCAGCAAAAGAAAAAATCAAGATCAAGATGGATACTTTCAATATTCATCATTATTCGAATGCCGCTTATTTTTAATCTTCCAAATAAGTCTATTAATACGAGAGGAAAAATTGAATCGTCTCAAATTTGTGATGGCGGTCAAATCATCAGCGATTTTCTCGAAAATCCACGTAGCTAGTGCTTATACAGTACACAACTTTCAATATACAAGAAAACATCCATTCAATTGAAAATGCTATTGATTATGAACGACCGCGGTTAACTAACTTAAAAGGAACTATCAAGATGGCGTCAAGGAATAAAACACATTGGGATAAACATACAATGTCAGAGGATTTGCGTGAGAATCTTTTTCATCAGACAAAAAAATTATGCTTGTGAAAATTTTGGAAACTGTTCACTTTCCAATAATCATACAGTAATTGCACATTATTTTAGAAACTGTTAACATAGAAACAGTGGATACTGAAGGATTTTTTACAGCTGTCATATGCTTGAGCAACAGAAAAGTCAGTACACAAAAAATTCCCCCAAATTTCCATAAGTCCATTGTAACTGTCAAACCTTCGACTTGAATGTTGGCCAGTCAAAGTCCTCAAAAATGGTATGATCCATTTGATCCAGTCCTTGATCACAGTCAACACACAAAATGCCAAAAGTTATCTTTCATTAAGTTGTCTTACTTGATTGAGAAAGTTTGCCATATGGTTCTTTCTTGTAATTCATTTTTTGTGCAAATAACTAAATTTGGGTATATTCCAGAAATGAACTTTAATCCAGATGGCTAAGGGTTCATTTTCATTGTGCCGCAAAGTTTGGATTTTTTGTGTGCGACACATTTCAATCTGAATGAAGGTCACTGAATTGCTCGCAGAATGGGAAGGCCGAACTCAGAAAAAATTCAGGAGCCAAATTTTTCGTCTTGAAGAATCTACAATGCTAGTACTCCTATATGCACGGAATGCTGAAAAAATGCCACCCAGCATTGAGGGATTTATTTTTTTTAAAAAAGCTGTAAGACTAAAAACATTGTTGGAATTTTTCCAAAATTTGGCCTTGGTACAAAAATATGATTTTCTAAATTTTTAGTGCTCATGTGTACATTATATTCTTGAAAAATAGCGCAACATTTCCAAACAATGTTTGAATCCTAAATATATTGTAATTTCTAAAATAATTTCCAGCCAGTCACAGGCTGATCAGGATGTTTTCTTCTTTATCTGTCAAATTTTAAGCTTTTTAACTTCTCTCATAATCATTAAATGAGAACTGTCTTCTGTTTCGGAGACGTATTGCTCTCCAACGAAATCTGAATCATGAACCAGAGAGTTTCCTGGCACACATTACATAAGTCAACCATCAAATCTACAAACATGCGAAAAATACACACACACTTTTCCTTGACGTCACGGTTGAGAAAAAAAAAACACTAGCAAAAAAAAAAAAGAAGCCAGGAAAGCTGGAAGCCAACAAATGCTTGTTCTCAGGACTCGGTTCATTGCAAGTGACCTGGCTTCCACTCACAATAGTTGACCCGGATCGGGTATAAAACCGGTCCAAGTTTTTCGTTGTCATGTCGTCGTGGGCAACCGAGCTACTTCATACTATACGTAACTAACCGAGCTCCATACTTGTTTCCTTCATGGGTGCAAAATGAGCCAGAGTAATTCAGGAAATTAACGAGCCCGTATTGATCCACTTTCTGGGCAAAGGGGCACAATGTGTTTTGCATTCACGCCTTTTTTCTGGGAACAAACGCGTTTTTATATAGAAACACATTTGACATCCATATTCTCTGTAGAAGTCTAAAGCGCAAGTGATAGAACATATTTTAAGATGGCTGTGTGCCAAAATAAGGAGAGTTTTTAAACCTGGTTTATTCCGACGCATAAAAATGAATCCTCTAAGAAATTGCTCTGGCATATATACAGTTGAACCTTGAAAAGTCAAACCTCACGAATAAGTTGAATACCTCCATTAGTTTAAATCCTTGAAGCCTTCATCTGAATTTCCTTAGAAGCAATGCATTAAAAACCTATTGAAGTCCAACACTTTTCCATGCAAACCTCCATAATTCAAATTTTCCAAAGCCGTTTGATTTTCTGACACATTTAAAAGGAAAGCAATAAAATAAAATAATGTTTGAATAACATAAAGAAAAGATTTTCATGCACTATGGGGGAAAAAGCTTTCCCAAGAATGACCTGATCTATAGTGGTCTAATAAAAGTGTGAGGCTGCAATGTTTTTATTAATATAGAGGAAAAGAAGGTTTTCACTAAGGCCCTACACTCTTAACTCTGAGTTCAACTCAATTAAGAAGCAATTTAAGGCCCAGAATATCAACATTTATACAATGTTTTGCAATTCTTCCGGTTCCCACAATAAAAATGCTTGTTTCCCAAAATTGAAAATTCCATAAATGGAAACCTCCCCAATAAGTCGAAACCCCTCCAAGTAAAATTCATTGGCTGGTCCCCTGAAAATTGACTCAGGCAGATTTGAGTATTTGACATACAAGTACTGTAGCTTGTGTACGTATATTCCAAATTGAACCAATATACTGTTATGCTGTATGAAAAAATTCTAAAATTAAGGCTATTTCACAAAAATATGTATTTTGCTTTCCCATTGTCCCATGCATGTTCTATTTAGTTACGTTTCATGCTTATTTGAAAGCATTGCATTAAATTTTTCTTTGAAGAAATATTTTCATTTTGCCTATGATACTGTAGTATGTAAGTTGAATTGTCATGCATTTTGACTATGCCTGTATCCCAATGCATTTGTGCACAGATACATCATCACATTATTTTCTGCTGGGAACAAATATGCTTGAAAAGTTTTTTAACCGAGGTGTTTTTAAGCCGAGACGCCACTGTAAATCTTTTTTTCTTTTTGGGGTAGGATTGATGCGAAAATGTATCGTTAAACTCATTTTTTAATTTTGCAAGGCATCATGCAGAGTGATGTTAACCATGAGTTGTTTATTCCTCCGGTTTTTTCATGTTGAAATTAATCCCCGCATTGTTTACGCAGTCTCATATTTCACGTTACAAAATCCACCTGCTGTGTGCTTGAAACATACATCATTTTCACATAGTGATACCAGGAAATTTTGCGTGCCTTGAAACTGAAGACGCTATCAACGAAGGTGACAGTGTTATGGGGAAAAAAATATTCCTTCTCTTTCTGGGTCAAGGAGAAAAGAACTATGTAGGGCACTATATAAAGGGATCGTCATGAAAACTTTCTTGATTTATCGGTTTAATCTGAGGACGAACCTGCATCGGGTTCAAGAGACGAGTATTTGATCAACGTGGATTTGTGAGGTGAGCCTTTTTAATATTCTTCAATTTTTTAGCGGGCATATTTGTAGCTTTTCAAACGAAGTGAGGTGTACAGCATCAGAAAAGTCCACAAACAATGGTATGCGATTGTCTGGAATTTAGGTGTACCTTTTGGACGACCACGTTTTTGACGGATCTGAGAAACTTAATTTTCATGATGTTCGTGTCATCATTTGAGTTGGATCTTCTTTCAGACGTACTGAGTCGATTTTTTCTTTTATTAATTTTTTTAATGCTGTGAAAAAGGGGCACAATTATTTTCATAATGGAAAAGTCGTAAAACGAAATTTTCCATTTGTTGCCTGAATCTTCATGTTTTCCCTGACGAAAACTATCGATACTATAGAGTCATTAAAGGAAAAATTAAATCAAAATTCCGTGGAAATTTTCCGGAAGATGAAACGTCTGAAATCCGGGGAAGTGAATTCTTGCATTAAGTATCATTTTTCACACACTTCTGAATTAGCATCAGAAAAATTATATCGCAAGCTGGAACTGTGAATCTCATCGATTTCAATGGGTTTCAATCGGTATTCATGACTGAAACCTTTTAAGAAGTCTTTCATGCCATTTCTTAGTTATTTCTGCGGATATTACTTTTCGCATAATCCCAAGTCATCCCGCAAAAATTATTTTTGCTTCATTTCTTTACTCGTGTACATGTGTTTTTTTACATACAGGCTTTTTTTCTGGCGAAACCCTTTTCTTGCTTTTTCCAATCGGAACGTTGTTCCGATCAGAAAAGATCCTGGGGAAAAAAGCTTTTTATTGTGTCATTCAATAGCAAAATTTCGAAATTTACAAACAGTTGGGAGTTTCAGGTTGCGTAAATGTATAATTAGAATGTGTTTCGTCACTTCCTGGACAAAAGTTTGCTTCATCAGGTAAATAATAGTTGCTGACCAGTTGAATATTCTTATGTTAAGTAGGAGCTTCCAAACAACAGCTCGGAGACAGTGACGCTGTCGTTTCAAACAATATTACGAACTACACCTGATTACTCGATGTGTGGTTAATTTTTCAAGTCAGGAATAAATGTTTCCTCCTTTTATCATGCAGCTTTACTCAGAATAAAATTGTTCATTGGCATTAACGCCACCTCACTTTGAAACTGCGTCAGTATTTTCCCTTGACAACCAGAGCACCTGATTCAATTTTTATCAAAATCCATTCATGAAAAAGTGAATTCTTTTTAGTATAGTCTAACATACGCTTTGAAAAGACAAAGGCTGACAGTGTCAAAAAGATCTTCATTGCAAGGGATCACATTTCAGAAAATGATTTCATAAAATTTTTGTTTTTGTTTGAAAGAGCCTGTGAATAATGCTAAAAATTGTTCAAATATTACTGTATAAAGATACTGCAAGGTAGTCCAAAGCATCTACAAATTTTTGTGTATCTTTGAGGTCTCCAAAATGAATCCAAACACCATGCCTGCCAAATATAAATCATCCGTGGTGGACATGTTTGAAGAAGTGGTCTGCCAAAATTATTTGCTTGAAAAAGTTGTCCAAACTTGTTTCCCCAATCTTTGGGTAACTTTATGCAAATGCTATAAAATTAAATCATGGATTATTTTTGTATGAAAATTGGTATACTTGTCTAATTTTTAACCAAAAATTAACAAGGAGGACTTGTCCAGAACAAGTCTACTTTTGACAAGAATCTGGAACAATGACTTCTTCTATATGGATGACTTTTGGACCAAAAATGGACAAAGTCTTGCTTCACTATAGGGAGGAGGGATCTTGAATCTCATCTAAAAATTGTAACACTGGATTTTGACCCCAGCCTAACCTTTCCACGCATAAAATTAAGATGGCCTAGTCAGTGTTTTGTCTCATAGGTGTCACTAGCAAAGAAAAGCGCCTTTTTTCAAGAGGTTGTAAATTTGCTGATTCATGATCAATGACTCTAACAAGCACAACACGTTTCCTGGAAATATAGGGAAGGAACGTTGCAAAGTTACAATTTTTAAACCAAAGAAATATTCCTGTTTTGACCATGCTGAACATTTTGATGTTATCTGAATTAAATTGCCTTCCCGATAGTAAGACCACAAGAAGCAGATGTAATTGGTGCAACAACCTTATCCCCATGTCAGAACATCTGCATGTCAGACATTGCTTTCCTGTAGACTTCAATGGAAATAATTCTAATGAGTTTTCCTGCTGATCAATAATCAAGAAAAGTCACCCCTAATATAACTTTTTTAACAACTTATTATTATAGAGATGAGAAAATATATGAACAGAAGAAAACCATCCAGGATCTGATCTTTTGACATCAGAATAAGCTTAACAGGCAAAGCAGAAAAAAAAAGTTTTGATATACTGAGCAAACATGATCAAATCAATGTAAAAAAACACTCACAAAACCAGTCTGTCTTTGATAATGAATTCTGGCAATTTTAAGGTCACCTTTATTTTCAGTCTTTTAAACTTCAAATAGTTCAATTTTTCCAACCAATCTAAAAAGTTTTAAAAATTCTAAAACATTTCCATACATTTTGGAAGGATGTCCATATAAGTGTCCCCAAGTTGAATTCACCATATGCCAGGGTGTCCGCATTTCAGAGCCTTACTGTATAATTACGGCAAATCTCCATGTTGGATAATTTCGAAATTAATCAAAAACGATAATATCCATCGTCACCCTATTCTGCTTCACGCATGTCACTACCGTGTTTTCCCACTTGACATGCGTGATGCTTATGTAACCAGTGCGACCTGATACAGTATATTGGTGTGTGACCTGTATGTACAATATTCTTGTCTACAATCGTGTGTTGGGTCAACGACCCAAGGCCACTCCCTTTTCTATGCATGTCATCCCCCCTTGGTTTGGCGTCCATTACCTCATTCCGCCATCGGCAGATTATCAAGTCAATTCACTGGAGTTTCCTAAATAGCGAAATCCTGTTTATAATTGGTGACCTCATTATGTATTTAATTTGCGTATTCAGATTTTGATCATCGCGTTGAATCTTTTTTTATCTGGGATTAAATTCCTAGCGCGGTTTGCGTCCTTTTTCGGATGCCTCGGAAGCAGTGAAAATGTGAAACGAACTCTCGACACCTTGAAACAATCCGTTTTGACACTTTTGGAAGCCGGATTATAAGTAACCTTGAATGTACCATAACCCGTACTCATGAATATAAAGCTGATGGTTGAAGGTGATTCTATATTGAAAACTCGGCGAAGAAGAGTGGAAGCCATTACATATTTTTCGATTGTTGAAAAGGGTCATGAATTTTATGGGCTAATTGCTCATACATGAATCATACATAATGGAATACTGCGCAAGAATATTCCCTTGAATATAATTACTCGAATGTATATGCTTCACGCTGTGATTTTTCAGCATTCTCATGATTCATTTTTTGAAAGGAATTACAGAGATGTAGCTGATATGCAAAAAAAGTTAATATCATATGTCCTCCCGCATAGCAAAAATTATACATGCCAAAGTGATTTTCATTATGGTTTCAAGTTTTGGAATACATTTTCCTGTCTGAAAAAATTTTCGAGAAGTTATAATTGAAAATATTGTCAGGCTGGAAATGACAAAGGGTTAGAAATAAAGTAGGTACAGGAGTACTCAGCCTTTAGGAGGCCGGATCCTCCTTAGTGGAGTCCCACAAGCTTCTTTACTAGATCACACACTCAGAGACTTCAGACACAGCTTCAGACAACCTCAACAGTAAAAGACAATCAACCACACAAGTACAAGTCAAACAGACAAGACAATTCTGGAGACAAAGTCCTACATTGCTAGGCAAATGCTTTGGAAGCTTTCTCAAGAGATAGTGATGGGCTTTGGGGCCCCAGATTCCTTTGGTAGACTTGGATGCCCATTGCATTCCTTGCCACCCAGTGTACAACATTGCGGTAAACCAGGTGTGCAGCAGGGACTTCTGCTGCGTGTGCCTGTTGTCTCCAAGCCCCATTGGCATGCCTGAGGAAAGACGCTGCGCTTGGGTCATGCTGATGTTTTGCAACCCCAAAAATATATTTTGAACCTTCTCTGAATTCATCTGAGGAATGTACCTAATGCCTTCATACATTAGGTTTCTGTATGAAATACATGTGGTACCTTGCAATTTGACCCTAGTCCATTGCTGGAATTGGGTCAAATTACAAAGTGGTCGAATTGTGAGACAGCATTGAATGGCAGGTTTTCTACATGGTATTTGATGATTCATGAGTCTCCACAGGTCAAATTGCGCAGCAGAGGTTGAATTGAGAGTTGACCTCCCAGCAATTTTGACCATTGAATAGCATGATGGTTGAATTGTGAGGTTACCTCAGGTATTTACCACCTGTACATGTGAGATACATCATGGGATTTGAGCCTTCAATTTCCTGAAATTGACAAAGAGAATAGTTGAGAAATGGAGAGTTGAATGCAAATCAAAGAATTTGATAAATATCAAGAAGTTTAAAAAAATCTGTTCAGTGTTGGCAAAGTTTTAAAATTTAAAGTGCACCTCATTCCTTTGCCCCAGTATCTTGCAAAAAACATGGTAGTTGCGTGAATATGGTACTTTCCATTGAAAAACTGACTCAAATAACATTGACGTAACCTGGATAATACCCAAATCTAGACTAAAAAAGTATATTCAAGGGAAACCTTTCTTGGAGTCCTTTGATACAGTATATGGGTCCACTTGGACAGGTTCAAGTGTAATTTTAATTCTTGAAATGAAAATCCTGGAGAGAAAGTGGCTTGGGCTATATTTTCTCGTTAGTCCACATTTCCTCTCCCTTGGCTGCTGCACAGCTTTTGCCTGCAGACAGGGTGGGAGAAGGTTGTGAAGCTGCTTGCAGAGAAACCAGTAAGGCGCGGTTTAGACTGCATTTGTGAATCGATCTAGCCATGAGCTGATTGGCTTCAACATAGTGAAGAGGAAATATGAGTGAATAAGTTTGCTACTCGATAATTTTTGTTACTTTAATAGTTATTCATAACATAAACTTGCCAGAAAAATTTTGAGCATGAATCATTCAGGTGATTTTCTTCATGAACTATTTTTTCCTATAGTTATGGAGAGTTTCATTTGTCTTTCTTGCAATTAGTGTTACATAAACTCCTTTGCAGAAACAGACTTCTTGTTTCTGTAGCTTAGACAAGAAGTCAAAAGAATAACCTGATCAGTCAAAATAACAGCCTTTTTTTTTAAATACCCCTCCATTTGAACTGAATTTATATTGTTCAAAAAATGTCCATTTGAATTCAATTCAAATTTCATATTTGAAAATTTTGAATCACTGTGGCAGTTGAAATTACTGAATGAAAAAAAAGAAAAATGGGTTTTCTCCTAATCGCGCTTTGGACAGATTTTCCCATTGCTGAAATGAATTATTCAAATCATGCATTCTAAGAAACCAATTTTCAAGCCCAGCTTTCTAATGTTTGACAAAATTTCACCATATAGCTGCATCAGTGTTTGGTATGGTAACTCAATTCTTCAATGAATGTTTTGGTCCCAGAACATCATGGCGGGCATCTTATAAATGTCTTCTAGTTTGCAAAAAATGTCATTGTACTTTGCTGGGGCGCGGACCCGCAAAATGGTTGGGGAATACTGCACTAAAATACCAGCTGATGCTCTGGGAATGGGTGCGTCATGTACCTAACTCACCAAGACTCTCTGGATGCGCGCGTCCCTTCCCTGCAGCATCTCAAGGGTTGCTCCATGAAAGGAACCCAGTCATTCCATTCCCGGCCAGTGCCCAGAATGGAACCCGGTGTTCACTGCGTGACGTTTCATATTTCCTCTTCCTTTTCACTCTGGAAGTTCCCTCTGCTTGACGATCCAACGTGGTGAACGTGCATCCCAGCTTTTGAGAATATTGTACCGTTTACACAAGTACAACATGGTTATGAGGGTTAATAATGTGAAGTGTAATTAGCCTTTTTAAGTGTTCAACAGTGAGTTAGCATGAGATTAAGTCGCGGTTCTTCAGAATGAAATCGGAGATAGTTTCGGAACAGGTTCAACTGCTCCAAAAAAGAAAAAAAGAAAACATACCTCAATTCTTCCGCTGTTTCCCCATGTGGAAACTGAGATACATAGTTTTGTTTCTTGGGAGGTGTGAGATTTTTGAACTTTCTGACCCATTGACCTTGATTTCCGTTGCGTAATCGTCGTGTGAATATAGTGGCATGATTATCTCGTCTGCGTATCGTGCGACATCCTGTGCTTCATGCAGCAAAGTTCATTCGTGGATCGAATCACGTGCGTTTTATTGGGACAGTTGGCAACAGATAAATCACGCAGTATTCAACAAAAAAGGTGTCATTAGTTACTGTTGCATCATCAAGCTGTGGACTCATTTATTCCTGTGTGAGGATATACGAGGGTTGGTTCATGAGATTTGAGACTTTTTGAAATAGATCTTATGGAGTTTGAACAATTCCAGAAAATACATTTTAATTGCATACCCCCATCTTTTGGCAACACTTCAGTGCTGTTCAACGCAGTCTCTGCAGGTTTTACTCTTTTTTTCATGCATTAAATTCAATGAGCAAAACAGTGCCAAAAATTGATGATTGTTAGTTGATCAAGGTCCTCTTCGATGACAAAAGTGAGGCTGTCCCGGTCCTCACAAGCAATCCATTTCAGGTTGTTATTCACTGTTGGAAACAGCCAGAATTAAGTTATAGGGTGCCTAATCAACTTTCCAAACTCGATTTTTGGCACTGTTTTGATCCTTGGATTTAGCGCAGGTAAATATACATTGAAATCAGTGGAGAATATGTGGAACATCACAGAAATTTTGCCAAGTGATTGGGTATATCGTATATGCAAGTAAAACATTATTTGGAATTGTTGAAACTCCCTTGGATCTAATTCAAAAAGTCTCAAAACTTATGGACCAAGCTTTACATTTATAGGGTCTTGTCTGGAAATTTCCCCAGAGTGAATTCCTGAATGTGTTGTGAACCAAGCGCCCTGTGACCTTGTTTCATGTTGCATTCCTCTCAGAAATGGATGAGTGAACTTGCTTCATGCTGCTAATTAAATTCTGAATAATAGAGGCATCGCAGAAGATGATATTGCGAAAAGAGGAAAATAGCGCCCTGTGACCTTGTTTCATGTTGCATTCCTCTCAGAAATGGATGAGTGAACTTGCTTCATGCTGCTAATTAAATTCTGAATAATAGAGGCATCGCAGAAGATGATATTGCGAAAAGAGGAAAACCATTGCGTAAGCTTACAAACGTGAATTAATAAATCGCCGCTTCTCAAGTACAGTATTTTTTTCTTCCCCTGTCGTAGCGTTTCTACGCCTCGAATTTTAATTTATGTAAATATTCCGAGGGGTTTTCAAATAAGCAATATGTTTTCTTGATGCTACCTATGCTACCTGGCATGTTTTCAGCATTTTTCATTTATTTTCGAAATTTGTATGTGTAACTTCTTGGGTGTAGTACAGTGAAATCTTAGTGTGTCTGGCATCACATCTGACCTGCATCTCGTCATTCAGAACTTCTTTTTGTGTCTTTTTTCAATTTTTTTTATAATTTTTGAAAAACTGATTGATTCTCTGTAAAAAGCTCAGATGAATAATTAACATCAGTTTTACCAAATTTCTTCATTTTGGGGGGACGATGTTCTGAACCACTGAAAAGCGAATATGCAATTGATTAAAGTTTTTGTCAATAATGCTACAAGAATCATTCAGTCCCATTTGGGATCAGAAATTGCTGACTGTTCCTGTCTTATAGTCAAGAACTGTTCCCCAGGTAAACCTATTAAACATACAGTACTTATTATACTTGTTGTTATACAGTACTTTGATTGGGAAGTTTTTTTTAAATGTGATTGTTTCAACTTGTTCTTTACAGGCTTTTCTGCTTTGTCTTGAGAAAAAGTTTTTTGAACTGCAATAATGTTGCGTTATTTCTTAATTGTTATAAGACTTATAACAAAATCTTTTTGGATTCTTAAAAATGTAGCCCATTGTGAATTATGTCTGATTTCACAAGAAACTCTCAAGATTGTTGCACTTATGTTTATGTAGGAAGAAAGATATCTTTGATTTGTACCTAAAAAATTTGGGATGAACAGGATATTTTTGTTCCTAAATAATCTGCCAAATCATTTTCTAATTTATCCGTAATTATTTTCCAAATCATACTGATGCAGGTGTGTAAAATCTAGTCCAATTCTTCGCGCGGCTGGAGTGATATCATATTATTTCGAATTTATTTAGCTTTTTCGATAGTTTGTGATAGTTCAAAAATTTTACGAGTTATTTTCAGTGCTGCATAGAATTGATGTCTCGGAAGGGAAAAATGTTTGCATGGGTTGGATGTTCGATAACATTGAGAGAACGCCAATTCAGAAAGAGGTATGAATATTATTTTTCCTGTTCTGTAAGTTTCAGTTATTTAAAAAAAATATTATTTCGAATTCTAGATATGATTCGGGAGGGAAATCAGAAACAAATTCAACGTCATCCTTCAATTTCAGATACTGCATGTGCTGTACATTCTTCGCAAAATGTATCATTAGAGACCTTGAAGAGTGAAACTCGCGCTTTTGGTGCGCATTTATTATTGTTTTCCTTATATATAAGGAATGGGGTCGGGTGGCGGAGAGGCGCCTGCCGGGGCGGACGCCGCAGTGCATGAGGACGCCATCGCGTCGGTCATCGGCGACTTTGGGCGGTGGCAGTTGCGAGTGGCGCTGTTGTCTTCGCTGTGCGCCGTCTTCACTGCGTGGTCCACCTTGAGCATTGCCTTCCTGGCGCCCAAAGTGGACCATTGGTGCGCCAAACCTGACCAGGGACCACATGCTGGGCTCAGTGACGCTGAGTGGAAGCAGCTTGCCATTCCCACAGCTGAGTCAGAGGTGAGACAAAGCAGGAGCATGTTTAATTGTTCAATTGCTGACTCTCTTTTTTTATGTGTTCTTTGGCTAGAAAAGAATAAAACAAACTTTTATGGTTAGGGTCTAGACTCAAGATTGAGTTGAGACCTGTATTTTTCCCTTATTTTTTGTCTGGGTTTTAATTATAGTTATAATTGGCAATCCTATATTTACCTTAATATTCTTCAAATGTAAATGGGTTGGCAGCCCTATATTCCCTCTTATTTGTGTTCTAAGAGCGTTTGCTGTCAAATTTTTCTTTTTGTTTTTAATCTAAGTTAGTTCACAACCCTGTGTTTCCTTATTCTCAGGATTTTAATTACCTTGGCAATTACGGTGAGACCCCCACATGCGGACACCTCAACCTGCAGACAATTGAACATAGGGACACTTATTTTCCCAGAAAAAATCAATAAATAAGGCCCAACATGAGGACACTGACTCAACATAGGGACAATTTGTGACAAAATTGCAAATACATTTCAGGTCAAATCACAAGAAACAGATATTTCCAATGCTAAATTGATGTAAGAAAAGTTCTGGGATATTTCTCTCACCAAATTACCATCCATTTAGCTAATTGAAAAAATTACCTCCAGCATTGAGGGAACTTTTTTCACTTAAATGTTATTTTTGTAGATGCCAACATTTTAGTGTACTGTATAGAGATACACTATTCAATGCTCAAAATGTTCTTATTGAGTTGAAAATGTATTCACTAATCCAAATTCAAGTGGCAACCAATTTTTTAAAGGAATTCTGAAGAATATTTCTTCCACAAAACACCAATTAAAAATTATATAATGTAAGTCTAAGGGAAAACAAGACTTGACTTAATGACATTTCAACTGGGTGACACT